AATTGTCTCTCGCATACGGACATGGCTCAAAAAAGATTGGCGGGTTAAACTTCAACATACATACAGGGAAGGAAACATGTGTGCAAACTGGATGACCAACTTTATTTTGGATAAAGAGGAGGAAGTGGATGTTGTGTTGGTTCGTGAGCCTACAAATGATCTTTGTTTATGTATTTAGCTGATGTCTCCTCTGTTGGGAGGGATCGTGCTTTGTTAGTCTCTTAGTTTTCTTCGTGTTGTTTTGGACTCCGACCCTTTTATTTACCAAAAAAAAAAAATTATTATATTAGAATAAAATTTTATCTTATTTCTAAACAATACTTTTAAATAACTTATAAATAAAGCATTAATAAAATTTAAGGCAATGAACCTAAGACTTTAATAATATAAATATAGAACCTTTAAAAAAGTTAATAATATCATTAATAAAATTTAAAGCCACTAAATATACTAGACTAATAATATAAATATAGCATTAATAAAATTTAAGGTCATTAATCTAAGGTTAAATAAATCCTATAAAAATAAAATCTATAACATGATAATTTTTGGGGATACCCTAAAGTTTAATTAAATAAAAACAAAAATTTAAAATCACACTTACTTGGAAAATGAGGTTGAAATCATTTTGAAGAAGAAAGCACAAGTGGGTGCAAATTTTTACTCTTGTAGACAGAATGAAAATGTGAGTTGGGAGAGATTTTTCAAGTGATGGGTAAGGAGAAGGGTGTAGACTCATCGAATGGATATATATATATAAAGAGATACGGTAGTCAATGTACCGCTTATAGATGCGGTAATGTAGTCAAATGCATCACCTTGTTTTGCGCATCTTTGCTTGGTCAAACACAGCATCCATGTACGTGTGTCTCTTCAGGCCTGACATCTAAGGATGTGCAAAATGTCCAAAAGAACCAAACCCATCCATAACCAAACCACTCCACATTTAAAAAATCGATTATTTTTAAAACCGGTTTCATATGAAACTGCATTTTATTTTATAAACTGGTTATTTACCAAACCATAAAAATAATTGGTTATCCATAACCAAACTATTTTACAATTAAAGAACAAATAAAGTATTATCTTTTATCCTTAGCATTAAGATGTGAAAATTACATAAATATAAATCATTTTTAAATGTGACATTATTAGAAAAGTCTTAAATACTAACAGAATTTATCAAAGAAAAATATTTCGTCGAAAATTTGAAAAAAATCATATTACGTAAAAAATAGAGACGAAATTTTTTTTCATTGAAACTAGAGACGGAACAAGATTTTGTCATAATCAGTCAAAATTCTTGATAGAATCTAAATTTCGTCGAAACTTTTCAACGAAAAATAATTCTGTAAATTTTTTTGACGAAACACATTTCCATAAAAAAAATTGACAGAAAATATTTCCGTCCAAATTTTCGACGAAAAATATTTCCAGCAAAATTTTCAACAAAACGCATTTACAGCGAAAATTTTGACCAAAAATATTTACGTAAAAAATTTTGACGAAAAATATTTTCAGCAAAATTTTCAACAAAACGCATTTACAGCGATAATTTTGACCAAAAATATTTACGTAAAAAATTTTTACGAAAAATATTTTCAGCAAAACACATTTCCCGCGAAAATTTTGACCAAAAACATTTACGTAAAAAATTTTGACGAAAAATATTTCTATAAAAAATTTCATCAATTTTTTTTTGTCAAAGTTCTTTACGGAATCTAATTCCCTCCAATCATTTCCCTCAAATTTTTTGACGAAAAATATTTTTATAAAGCATTTTGACGAAAAACATTTTTGTCAATTTTTATCGAAATATTGTTCGTCAACGAAATTTTTTCATAGAAATGTATTTCGTTGAATAATTTTGATGGAAATATTTTTTTACCAAAAAACTTGACGGAAATATTTTTCGTCAAAAATTTTAGATGGAAATGTGTTTCGTTAAAAATTTTGTCGAAAATGTTTTTGTCTAAAAGTTTAACGAAAATGTTTTCGTCGAAAACTTTTGACGGAATTTGAATTCTATAAAGAATTTTGATGAAATTATTTTCCGTCAAAAGTTTTCGAAGGAAATGTGTTTCGTGGAAAATTTTGATAGAAATATTTTTCGTCAAAAATGTTGATGAATATGTTTTTTTGTGAGATATTTTGAGGGAAATATTTTGATTAAATTTATATTCCGTAAAAAAATTCGACAAAATATTTTTTGATGGAAATGTTTTCCATAAAAATAACGTGAAACAATTTCTATAAGAATCATTTCATCCTTAGAGTTCCAAAACAATGAAGGTTCTTGCAAGAAATAGTTGGTCAACTACCTATAACCGGGAGAAACAAACGACTACTTATTAAAATAGCACAATCCATCAAAAATCGATTTTGAATTTGTTAAAAAACCGGTTCTGAACTTGATAACCGGTTTATGGTTCATAACCGGTTTTGATTTAAAACCGGTTTTGAATTAAAACTGGTTTCGGTTATGAACCATAAACCGGTTTTGAAACCGGTTTCAAACCGGTTTGGATAATAAAAACCGATTTTTTTTTAAAAAAACTGGTTCGGTTTGAAAACCAAACCATTTCAAACCGGTTCGGTTTGGATTTTGCCAAAACCGGTTATGAACCGCTCCATGCACATTCCTACTGACATCTATAAATGCGGTTTTAGGTACTGCGCGTCTCTATGATCTATAAACACCGATACCTACACGTCTGACCAACTCGATTTATGTGTAACTCGAATTTGTGACGTGCGTGTCTTAATGTGGAAGAGTGACCATTTTGTCACACCTGGCAAAAAAATTTACCAGACTGTCACGCCAACAGTAAATTTTGTCAAAATGTCACGCGGCATATTTTGCTACACTGTGTAGCGAAATATGTTTGCAAGTAATTCGCTACACAGTGTAGCGAAATATGCCTTGTCAGGATGCACAGTCAGCAAAAAATGACACGTGTCAAGCAGGCAAAATTCAAGCATAATTCGCTACACAGTGTAGCGAATTTCTGCCTGCTTGACACGTGTCATTTTTGCTAAATGTGCAGCCTGACATGGCATATTTCGCTACACTGTGTAGCGAATTACTTGCAAACATATTTCGCTACACAGTGTAGCGAAATATGCCGCATGACATTTTGACAAAATTTACTGTTGGTGTGGCAGTTTGATAAAATTTTTTGCCAAGTGTGGCAAAATGGTCACTGTTCCTCTTAATGCGGCAACACCTGAAGCGCATCGTTTTGCATTAGTTCGGTAATAAGTTTCACCAGAAGCTAAGTGTCTATTTGATTGTGTTATGGCTTTTTGTTCTTAAAACTGTTTTGTAAAGTTATTTTCTATATTTATTTATTTTTGAAAGTTAAAAACCAAAACAGAAAACATAAATAACTCAGACATGTTCTCTAAATTTGATTCTAAAAACAAAAAAACAGTTATAGTTTTCAAAACATTTTTTCACAAAACAGGCCTTACCAAACGAGTTCTTTAATTTTTTTTGTCTGAAAACTAAAAAACTATTTTTAAAAACAACAATCAAACATAGCCTTAATCCGGTCAAACTTTTTAAAACACCTATATGAACATAATCAGCATACAATGCAAATGGAAGAACATTTGCTCTTCAAAATGCCACGAGATTTTAAATTACCTGAAGTATGTCCAAGCATATATTGCCGTGCACATCTACATGGGATGGAAGCATGTTGTTTCAAACTTGACTTTTGGAGGCTTAAAAGGGTAATCATTGGGAAAGGAAAGGGACAACTTGTACTCTCTGCCTTCAAAAACGGTATCTTTGCTTCGTGTATATAGTTCCTTTCCATAAGAATATGTTGTCCTCCTCAGGAAATGCATATATACCAGAATCACCACTCATCTGACATTCCAATCACAACAAGAAACAAACATTAGTACAATTTTCCATTGATCAACAATAGCTCTATGGCTGCCCAAATTACAAAGAAAATTGAAAGCTGCCTCAAAAGTTCACTATATTGCCAAAATACTAGTTTAGTTATAAGGAGACAATATTGGACAAATGCTTCTTACCATCAAAGCCATCAATTCAGACTGCAGCCTGTTTTAATATAGAGCAAAATTTCCCCAACGCAAGACAAGGAACTGAGTTAGAAACAAATGGCCTAACAATGACAAAAACCAAACAACAACGATAACAACAATAATGAAAGTATAACCAAGCAAAATTCCAAAATTGCTTAAATTCAAGGTTATACCCGCCCCCTCTAATGGCTAAACAATTTGGTTCCCTGTACAATAATTTCTAGATATAAAAACAGAGAAAAAAAAAAAGAAAATAGCATGTGATGTGATGTTGAATCAATAGTAGAGAGATTTATAAAAAAAAGGAATAAATGAATGGAAAACCTTCTGAGAATCAACCATCTTAGGAGAGGGGAGAGGGTGCTTCGAAAAAGCAATGTTGGGTTGAGCAGTTTCAGTGTTCCCATGAACTGTATTGGTATACTCAATATTAATAAACAATTCAATTGCAGAAAAAAGGAAGAGAGACTATAGAGACAAAAGCTTAATATTCCTGTTGCTGAATGAAGAAAAGGGTTTGGTTTGAAACGTTGTACTAACCGTTATGGATTTCAAATAATTTAAACCCTGCGAGACCGAAGGTTACAACGGCTAGTTGGCAGAAACTGTTACCTTTTTTTTTTTTTTTTGGTAAAAAACAAAATTGTTACCCTTTTTACTTTACAGTCTACAGAGAAATTTGTGGATAAATAAACCTTTTCTTAGTGCATACAACACATGGTTAATCAATATTAAATAAATTAAATTTTTTATCATATGAATTATGAGGAAACCATGATTTCTTCTTGACTAACTTCAATTGGCAAGAGTTTAGTTGAAGTTATACGAGCTATCAAACATCCATACAATGGGTACCTTGGAATCCGCTACAAAGCTAAATTGATGAACGTATATGAACTTGAATTTTTTAGGCTCCTTCTCATAATAACAAGCTCTAATGTAATTGTTTTTTTTTTCCCTCTCATACCATGAAAAAATTCAAATAAATCCTTAGTAATTACACTTTGGAACTTGGGGAAAAAAGGAAAAATAATTTCCAACTAGTCAGTGATACCCAACGAGATTCTATTTTTCGGGCATACCCGTCAGAATCATTACTCAGAGTGCAATAGTCTCTTTACTAAGAGACCTGCTATGATTTTTTTTTTTTCCTTGTACTGACCTGCTATGATTTATATACTGCATTCCTTAAAAAAGAGTTAAATTCAAAAGACATCAGAGAAATCAGTTCGCTGGGGGGGGACCTACATTAAAGAATGCAACTACAATGAATGCTGATGGGTTAGAATAACAATCATGAATGCAATTGATGTATGAACTCTAATACTCTACTGTGTCCTGATTACAATTATCTTCAGCCTTTTTGCACTAACATGGTTGTCGTTTCATTGTTCTTCCTTCCCTTTCCAAAACAGTTGAAATAGAAAGCAATAGAGCAGAAGCCTGATCAAGTAATCATTCCTTCTACAGCGACCCGTCCAATTAGAACTGAGAACATTCTTTTTTCTTTTTTTTCTTTTAGAAAAATAAACATGTGCCACCATATCCTGCAGGAAGAAAAACAACCCCACAAGAAGCTGGCATCTAATGTCCAACCATGACCTCTCAATGTAAATCATCAAACCTGCAATGAAGATAAACAAGTATAAGAATCGTTCACATACTGGGTATCCATAATGAATAAATTGAACTTATTTCTTAGTTGGATGGAGTACTTTAACATAATGCACAACCAATAGGTAAAACGAATAAAGACAATATAACAATTTTTTGCATGTACAAAATAATACAGATAAAAGTTTGCTTCCAAACATCCAACATAAGCAATTATATACTACATCCTTAAGGCTACAAATTCTTCATTTTAGCTACCAGTAATTTTATTTTGAGAAAGACAAGGGTAATACCACTTCTTTCTTGCAGATTCAATACTCTAGAAGGCTCCTCACCAACTACTGTATTCAACAATTTCAGCTAAACCCAAATCATTCCTCATAGGCTCATACTAAAGAAGAAAAATCTTTCCTTTAAAGAATCTGGACCCGATTTCTGTAAACTCATTTATCTAACTAACTAGCTGTCTCAACATGCATCTTTCCACCAAAACAAATGTATCATAACCCCCGCAAAGTGAAGATCTCATCCATGACTGCCAAAAGTATTTAATTGCAACGGATCTGCAATGACAAGTGAAAATTTCACTTCAATTATTTATTATAAAACTGATATAAAAACTACAGAAGGGTTTAATGTTCTCTTCTCCCAAAGAAGGGGAACTGTAAAAAAATAACGTACACATCATCAGTGGCACATCCTAAAATGAAATATTGGACATCAAAATCTAAATCTTCTTAGGAATGAACCAATTTTTCTTAACAGCAGAACTGCCAAATTAAGACAGAGAGAGAGAGAGAGAGAGAGTTTTGTTTGCAACTGAAGAATACAAATAGAACCACTATATTGGCCACATAAGGGACAAGGACATAAATAAAATGGTTTTGGGTGTCATGGACATTAAAATGTTCTGCCCCAAAACAATACACAGTATTATTCACGAGCATCAATACCAAAACAAAGCAAGAAATAAATTTTAAAAGCAACCATACATGACATTTATCATTTTTTGGCTAAAGAAATTAGAAAAAAAAGACATTTTAGATAAGAGTTCAATTTTAATGCACGATCAATTTGAAAGTTTTTTAGCTATCATCCAATATTGTATATCAACATCAACACCTTTATCCCAAAGTAATTGGAGTCGGTGATAGATTAACCCAAATGAAAGGTACGGAGGGATAAAAATAAATAAAATAATAATATTTATAAATATAAAAGTAAAAAAAGAAAAGAAAAAAAAAAGAAGGGGAAACGAAGAAGGAGGGAAATGAACAGGGAAAAGACTGAAAAAGGACCATTTGAAATATAGGAATAACGAGTCTAACCCTTCACCATGCTAATAGCTTTTCTCCAATCTAATATTGTATTGACACCTCATCATCAAAGCTTTTCTCCAATAATTCAGGTATAAAAGAGGCAAACATACCTTACTCAAAGGTTGGAGAGAAACAGGATTAGATAATTCCTCTGCACACTCAGTTGCAGCATTGCTTTCAGCGTGAGACAATCCGTTACTCTTCATATGGGGGCAGATTGGAGCAGTCCTATCACGACAAACATGGCACCTAAATCCAATGACTTGTCTGGCTTTTTCTACGGTGAGTTCAAAAGCGTCCCCATGAAACCAATCTACAAAATAGCATAGTATGTTCAAATTATATATTAGTGCATGTTCAAAAGGTATAGTATTATAACAAAAAAAAGAAACGGGGCATACAATGCTTATGCAACATAGATCAAATAGTATACAGGCATTTAAAATATTATTTTATTAACTTGTAAAAACGGCTAGCCTCCCCTTTCCCCAACCATACCCTATCTCAAAAGGGAGAAATATAAACAGAAGAGAAGAAAAGTAGTTACCTCCACAGATTTCACAAGCAATATAATTTAAAGTACATCCATCTCCACAGCAAAGGCAGCATTTAGGATGTTCAAGAGAGCCAGACAAATCTTCAGAGGAGAGAACATGCTTTTTCTCTTTAAACAGCATTACTCGTTCATCATTCGGCTTTCTAGACAACCGAAGACCATTAAGCCAGTAACTGCTACAGATTTTTGTCCTTTTCTTACGTGCAATAGTTACTGCCAACTTCTTACGTTGCCCATTAGTTTCCTTGGGCTTCTGATAGGTCACCTTCTTGGACTTACTTTGCTTTCCTTTTTTACGTCCTACATTCTTTTTACTTTGAATTCCTTTTTTACGTCCTCCATTCATTTGATTTTGCAGATACAAGGATTTGGCCTTCCTAGTAGAACGGCGAAGAGGTATACTGGATGGCATCTTCTTACTGGTTCGAGATATCCCCTGTCGCACCTTACTCAATGCCTTTTTATTGCCTTTAAGGTTCACTGATTTACAAACTGAAGGGACATTTTTACATTTCTGTGATTGAATCTTCTGCAGCTTTGAGTCAACTTTCCTTCTATTAGAATTAGTATTAGTCTTTACACGCAACCCACCCTGGCATCTGTGACATGAATATGTGCATTCAGTAGTTCTTGTGCCACCCAATTTCCTGACATGCCTCTTATGGAAATATCCTACAAATTAAAATATGATAAGCAGATATTGAAGTGCAAATGTAGTTCATTCACCGTTGTTTTAACAACATAGACAGACCATCCCTGTAATCCAGTATCTTTGGAATCTGCCTAGTTCATTCTTAATTACAAATGAAAAGTAATTTTCGTGGGTTGAGGTATTGGAGAGAGACATATACATGAGTTTTTCCTCGTACTAATTTTAAAAGCAGTTGCACCCGCACTAGTAGGGCTGCCAATGAGCCTAGCCAGTTGGTCGGCCTACTTGTCCATTGATTCATTAACAACTAAGTAAAGCAAAGATTTTGGCTCATTTATTAAATGAGCCGAACTTGAGCTTTGAAATAATCAGCTCATTAGACATTAGCTTGTGAGTCAACTATATATATGGTCATTTTTAAGAAAAATAATAACAATGCTTTAATTTAATATATATCAGCATTTGGTTTTATGTTTTGTATGAATAAATTATTTTTTCATTGAACATTTTAAGAAAAATTTGTTGAGTTAGAAATTTGAGCTTAACTCATTGAGACTAGAAACTCTACTAATACAAGGCTTAATATTAGTTAAGTGAGCTCAAGCAACTCGTGAGCCTAAAGTGAGCGAAAATCAAGCCAACAAATAAGCTTGGTTTCTTATTGAAGCTGGCATGAGTTAGGCCTAACTCAACTCAACTCATTGCCAACCAATTTTATTAAACTCGACCAGCAAACATGTTAAATTGAATTTATACAATAATATATAATAAATATAAAATTAGAAGCATTATAAAAGAGATTCAATTTATTGACCAGTGTTTTTTATTGCTTTCCATTGAAAATTCAATTATAAAAGAAATTACGATATCAATTCTGTCAAGCACAATATAATGAGATGTCAATAAAAATCGTGAATAAACCCTGCTGCCTACCAATAATTAGATAATAACATTGAAAAGATTTCATAACAAAGGATTTAAATTTTAACAGGCAAATATATTGATGACTGATCCATATGTTAAGACATTGAAATAATAACAATTTCTGATTCAGTGAGATACGAGTTATAGCCATAAAATGGAATAGTAAAAGGAGAATTAAAAAAATATATATATTTATTTGTGAAACAATTAAAACAAATCACCAGCTGCAAATCAAAATTAATAAGAAAAAATATGAAAGCCAGATTAAAAGACAAAAACAAACCTTTGCAATAAAGGCAGCTCACAGCATCCCTGACAATTTAATAAAAAGGGTATATTTATAAGTAACAAATTAAGTACTAAATAAGGCAAAAATATCTCAGTACACTTAACCTTTAATTGTGGCAATAAATAAAGGATGGAAAGATACATAAAACAATAATTTGAATCTCTCACCCATGTATTTTTGTAAAACAGACAGAGAAACATCTATCGAAAAAATGAGATTTCACCAAGAATAAAAAAGGGAAGTACAAGAAAGGGCGACATTCAATCCTCTAAGAACTCAGTGATTTTATTAAATTATTGTGGTTCAACTTACAACAAATTATTGATTCCGTCCATAGGAGAAACAGAAAAAAAATTCATTATGATCAATGAAGATTACGAGTAGCCACTCAACCGCTCAAACCCATATCCCAACAAACAAAAATCCTCGTTGCTGATGAGATTTAATACACTCCATAGATCTTCAGAAAAAATCCCTGTTTGGTTGGCTCATATGCATAGTAGTCAATTGTGCCGCCATAGCACTGCGAGTGCCTCACCGCAACAATCCGCGCCGCACCGCACCAAAAAGCAATAGCGGCCATTCCGACCGCATTTGCGGCCAAATCGCGCCGCATCAGTAACATAAGGGTTTTAGTCAAAAAGTCAATTTTTCCCTCGTTTTAAATGTGTAACAGAAACATTTTAAGGGTTTTTTTTGTCTTTTGCGGGTTTAACCCTAACCCACTCCCTCTTACTATCACACACATCTCTCCCTTTCCACTCTGTCTCTCGTGTCTGCCTTTCTCACTCTCTACTTTGCCTCTCGCTCTGTCTCTGCCTCTCTTGCTCTCTGCTTCTCTCGCTCTCTCATTCGCAGGTAAGCTCTCTGGCCTCTGATTTTTTTTTAAAGAATATTTTATTTTTTATATTTATATTTTTGTATTGTTTACCTTTTAAGCTCTTTGACTCTCTCTGCGTCTCTCTCTTTGTCATTATCTTTGTGTTATAGACTTCTTAGAATTTCCTTAGAGCAAATTTATTAACTGCATTTGTCCTGCATTTTCCTTAGTGATTATGTTTAGTGGGAACAAAGCCAATATATAAAAACACAATTACATAATTGAATTTCAATACACTAAATTCAGTACATGATACATAGAAACATTGGCACTGCAAAGACAAGTAATTTATAATGAGAACATATAATAAAATGTTAAAATCAGAGGCAATAAAACTCAGTGGCTACTTCACCCTTTTTTTGGGTGTCATTGTTTTTTTAATAATTTGTTGTGTTACATGTATTGAAGAATTGTTTTGTTACTTGTTGATGCTTCTACCACTGTCCTTATCCTCGTTTTAATAGCATGCTTTGATTTTTTTATTGATAGAAACAGAATAATACAGGTAATGGATTATTCGTCTACTCACTATTTCTGCAACTGCAACCCGCTATACCGTTTTTCAAGGTTGGCCGCAACAGGCCACAATCCGCATTTGATAACTTTGCTCATATGTCAAGTCAAACCCAAAATAAAAACAAGCCATTTTATAACACTAACCCATTAAATCTTAACCATTCTACCGTCCTACATTATCTACCATCAAGCCACCCAATAAAACCCTACTTTTAGCCTAATAATTCTAAGCTTTCCACAGTCCAACATCATACATATTGATGTTTGTTTTAATGAAAACCCAAAATACTACATTTATTCGTTTTATAAGTTTTAATAACAACCCTTGGATGTTTACTTCTCAGGTGTGTTTTTCTTACAGACCACTAATATCTGAGGTAGAATTATGGTTCTCATTACAGGTTTTGGGAGGATTTGGGCAAGGAATATTCCTTTACTAGAGTCCTTTTCTACCTTACAACTTTTCTTCTTTAGTTAGCAGACTAAGAGGAATACAATCAGTAACGTGAGAAATCATATATTAGTCTGATCTTTGATTAAACTGAAACAGAAACTATAATGGAAATATAAAGAATATTACTGAAAAAAGAAATAGCATAGATAGAGTAAGAGAAAAGGAACTTGTTAAAACATTTATCTAGATGAGTGGATACTGCAAATACCTGATTGGAACATCTTTGTTGCAGTGCCCACACTGATGACAATCAGATCTTTCCATTCTAGAAAACAAATATGGAAATACACTTTGTTGAGGAACCCTCTTGTTCACTCTACCAATCTCAAGAATTTTTCCTAGTTTCTTATCACTGGACTTACGGACAATTCTTTTTTCCTCAAAATTCTTTAAAAGATGCAAGGGAACATAAGACTCATCCAGCCAATATTTTTTCCTCTCACTTGAGGATTGTTCCAACAAAGTACCATGTCTATTAACAATATCTGGAATAGTCCTTCTCTTCCCAAAATCAAGAAGGTACTTCACAGATTTCCCTTCAGTGCATTTCCTGCGTACAATTGCTTTTTTGAACAGCCTGATCGATTTTCTAGATTCCTTGTCTAACATATATAGAGGATGGTTATTCTCAATATCATGCCACCTTATGTTAGAATAAAGCTCTCTAACCTGAAAACATGACATAGTTTATCTTAGATAATAAGAGGTAGTTACTTCATTACATGAGAAGAAGACAAAGTTCATCAGCTTCTACCAATTACAAAAGGCTAGAGGGTAACATTGGATGGAAAGCTACTAACACGTGCGTACATATTCATAATTTTTAACAGGTTTACATATATTACTATAATTCCCATGCTCATTCTAGGTTTGTCAGGTTAACAGAATGTGAGATTCTTACTTGGCTTTGTATAAGTCAAAACCTTTATTCATGTCATTTCAGGATCCTTATCTAATTTGGATAGCAGAATTCTTCTCTTTTGGTAGTCATGTCACTCCTTTTTATTTTTAATCTTTTGGATACAACAACAACCACAATTTATTGTAAGCCTACTTTTCAGTTTCTCACTCTTTCTCAACTAGGGAGAGGTTTCTTCTAAACAAATCCATCTGGAAATCTAAATTTCATGGACAATCAACCCTTTGTTTAGAAAGTAATTAATGGCAATAATATCAATCACATGTTGCAGAGTTGTAGGTGCCACATAGCAACTTCTCCAAATACCCTGTTGTTGTGTGTGAAGAAATAAGGATTGGCCAATGATCTAGTTGGATAGGCCCTATCAGTAAAAGTAATTAGAGTTATTTAATAGTGGTAGATATATTAGATCTGGTTACATGATATTAATTTATATTGTTAGATATATTATAATTACCTGATATTAATTTATATTTTAAGATATAGTAGATAGGATTACTTTTCATTAATTGATATGGTTAGATATAGTAGACAAAGTTACTTGATTTTAGGGGATATTATGAGATACAGCAGGTAGGATTGCAAGATTTGGGATGGGATACTCCTCTAGGTCAGGCAGGTACGGTGAGATTCGAATTAAGTTGTAGGGAGATCCCTGGCTCTCAAAATCCTGGATATCAGTATTCACTCTATTATCCTTATAAAAAAAAGGGTTTTATAATTCTCATTCAACATGAGAATTGAAATCTTCCTACACACCCTTCAATTTCCGTGCTAACGTGGGTCCTACACATAATTTTTTCTAACATATGGGACCCACATGTTTTTTGTCTCTACAGCATAAGATTTTAATTCTCATGTAACTTGAGAATTATGAAACCCTAAAAAAAAATTCCTATGTTTTCTCCATAAATTTCCTAAATTCTGGTCCAGTTCTATCAACGGATATCAGAGCTTCCGAATTCAAAGAGTTCATTCATGGTTTGTTCAAGGATGGAGGAGGAGTCATTAGGTGGAAGGTTGGAACAATTTGTGAAATTTATGGAGGACCCACAGCAAGGGCCATTGGAGAGAAGGAGAAAAAGAGAGCTGTGCGAAGGAGAAAAATAAGTTCTTGAAGGCATACTGCCGAGTCCCAATGGAGGACGGCAAACAAATTCCTCTAATAGCCACATGATAGACGAAATTGCAAGGACATAAGGGAGAGAAAAAACAAGGGAAGAAATGGGAGATTCTTCTATTCACAGGAGATGCTTTAGAGATGCGAGAGACAGAGAAGACATTTTGGACTTTATCAACACTTGACAAAGAGGAGATTGAAACCAAGAAGAAGAACCTAAAGAAGCTATGACCTTGTTGAATGACCCAAATCTAAAAGTGGAGGCTCTGGAAAAGGTTGCACACATACCAGTGACGCCACCGCCATAAGCAGGGATGGCCAACCCACCACTATTACCTGAGCCACCGGACTTGGACTTTCATTAGGAGAAAGTTGGGTCTTCGCATCGCAGCAGTGTGCAGAATGAGCAATGAGGAAGGGTATCATGGGAATTACGATAATTGGATTGTTTTGTTGACCTAATGGACCAAGCTCAAAAGGTGGGGAATCATAACATAAATAAGAGCCAATGGGTCAGCTTTAGGGGGAGGGCTAACCCAGCCTATTCCAATGTCAGATCTCGTCAGGCCTAGTCTGAAGTGTCAAATTTGGAAGTGCACGATGTTTTAAGAGGTTGAGTGGTGTTGGTTAAAATTCTTAACCTTGAAAGGAGCACCATATCATTGAGATTCAAGCAATGGGAATCAGGTGGGAGTTATTTGGCGGACCACGGTACGTCTCAACCCTTCACCTTGAGGACAAAGTGAAATTTTAGGGAGGGAGTATTGTTAAGAATCCCCTATTAAGGAAAGTAGGTTAGAAAAAATAAGAATTGCCCCAATGGTCTAGTTGGGTAGGCCCCATTAGTAAAAGTAATTAGAGTTATTGATATTGTTAGATATATTAGATAATGTTACAATGATATTAATTGATATTTTTTGATATACTATAGGGTTATTTGTTATTAATTGATATGGTCATATATAGTAGATAGAGTTACTTGATTTTAAAGGATATAGTAGAGAGAGCTATTGCAGCGGGATTGCGCACTCTTGCGCCGCAATTGATAACCATGATTAGATACAACAGTTAGGATTTCAAATTTTGGGAAGATATTCCTCTAGGATAAAAAGAAACAAAGGGCGGATAGAAAGACACGGTGAAATTAGAATTGAGTTAGCGGAAAATCCTAGATATTTGTCGCTATATTCACTCTATTTTTCTTATCAATAAAATTTTCCAATGTTTTCTCCATAAATTTCTGAATTTTGGTCCATTTCTATCACTTTGTTGCATTCTTGAACCTTTCCACTCCTTATTACTTTTTCAGTTTTGGATGATATCTTATCCTACTCCTACTTGTACTTCTTTTATATCTAATATAGCAAATTTTTGTTTGATATAAAATGTAATAATAATACTAATGTCTAAGATCAATTGTGAAGACGATATTTAATTATATCCTTAAGCATAGTAGTTGAATTGTAAATTCCTTTTAATATATGGGACACTACTCCACGGGAAGGTAATAAAATGTGACACGAATTACATGCAATATCATAGTAAAACTTGCAACATTTTGCAGATGTTTTCATATATTTATTTCTGGAAATAAATACAATAAGAAATGACAATCGACATAATAGAAAATGCAAGAATTAAAAATAAAAATAAAAAAATAAATAAAACAAAAGACAGTAGAAAATGTATCCCCAGTGAGTTAATATCTTTACATTGTGATTTCCCAAGAAATTTCTGATTTAAAGAAAATATCCAAATACAAAACCGATTGCAGAAATATAGCGACAAAGTGATAGAAATGGACAAATTTCTTAACAGTCAAACCACAATATCTGAATAAGCGACTACATATGGATGGGCACCATCTAACGATGAGCACCAGTAACGTCGAATGTTAAGTGCATTCAGCAAGGTAACCATACCTGCAAAGCAAGCTGCTGAACACTTGTTGACATCTCAACAGCAGCTCGCCAGGCAACATATCTGCTTCTCCTTGCAAAATCTGAATTCTCAGGGTATAAAATGCCTGGTATCTTCACACAACCAGCTGTAGAATTTAAAACATTCAAATGAATACAATATAATCACTAAGATGAACAGGCTCCCAAGTCCTAATACAACCACCATTCATGATATAAAAGAGAGAACAATTTCCAGACCTTGTCTAGCGGCCTTCGTAACCAATGAGCGAGGCAAAACCTTCCAATTAAACAATTTTCGGGAAAGCCTACCACCTCTCCACCAATACATTCCCAAACCACCGGTAGCGTTTGAAGATGATTCAATATCTGAATACCTAGCCCTTTTCCTTCCAATACCATGCCTTGAAGATGTGCGTGATGTATTGACCACAACATGAGTAGCTGATCCCATAGTAACACCAGAATCCACATGCTTTAACCAATCTGCTGAAAGTGCACGAAGCCGCAAATTGCATTCTAACTGCAAAATTCAAAATTAGACAATGTAAGACTTTCCAATAGAAGTATTATGAACAACTGAACCAGAGAACAATGTAAACCCACAATCTAGATGATGAGCTAGCTAAAAAAGAGGTGTTTCTTTAGTTGCAAGCAATCTTGAGATCTACTAATTCTATAACATATTATTCAGCTTCATTATAGCAAAAACATCATAAAAAATGCAGTGAGTAAAATAGGAAGAAAAAAATATATCTATTTATATTTGCCGAAACATATATTTATGAAATGTGTATATTTATGAAATGTGTATTATGAAGACCCACCCAACAAGTACTGATTATTTATTTTCTGTTAGTCAGTTATACCACTTATATAGCACTAGTCAAACCTAGGCACCAAGCTATTTACAACATAAAGCCCAAGTCAAATAACCAGCATCTAACAAACAAAAACAAAAATCCTAAATAGCAATAATTACTTAAGGAAAAGCCCACAAAAACCATTAAGATCCTAATATAAAAACTAAGGACTGAAGAAATTACAAAATTAAATTCTTTGCAACATATTTCCAATTCAGGGACAACTAACCACCCTGGTGGTTAGCCATGTTCAAGGAGTGGTTAATGCATATCCACCTATAAATATTTTTACCAAGAATTCCTTTCTTGCAATTTTCCCATAATAATAATACTGCTAAATTAACACTAATTGAACCAAAACTTCTAAATCATAAAGCAATAAGATGTTAGAGTCAGTCCCCATATCAAAACTAAATCAAATTAGTGAGAACTGTGGATCTTTACGCTGATGTCGTCTTGATAGAAATGTATCACTGAGTGATAGAAAATTGAAAAAGAAAATAGAATTGAATATATATATATATATATATATATATATATATATATATATATATATATTAGTCCTCATGCTTTTATCTTGATTCTAGTCATCTCTCCTCCAACCCAAATAAGAGAACTTGGACAATGTAATCTTTTGGTGTTTCCCCCAGTAAATCGTTTTCAGTTTCTAACTCCCTCTCCAAATTAAAAGGCTCCTTTTTGACTAAACCATTTGGAAAAAAATTCCCTCTCTACGGTCATGTCAACCATGTTACTTCATAGGACAAATGACATGTTACTAATTCTTAGACTTCAAACAGCTCTTTTTACTGATGGGTATTAGCTGTAGGTCTAGCTCAAAAACAGCAAGCCATTTATTTTCACGTCATAAGGAGGCTAGTTTCTTATGGAATAACTAGTTAGGAGCTATTGCTGAACAATGACTTTGCCTTACACCTTGGAACAGTTTCCAATTAGAAGTTTCAAAGATTCTGAAGGATAAAAGAGGCAAGGATTTTATGGCAATGTACAGTTTAGGTGGTTTTCAGGTATATTAGGTTTGAGGAATACCCATATTTACAAGTATCTCTTTGCCCTTCAATTTGTTAGGGGATAAGATTGTGTTTATATCTTCTCTATGGTGCTTTGCTCATGTTTGCTTAAAGGGAATTTCTAATAATGAAACGCAAAGAGATTGGACAAACTTTTTCGGATCCTTGAGCCAGTTCGGCTCTTTTTTTCTTCTCTTTCTTCTTTTTAGAAGGATTTCTGATCCTTCTTCTTCCACATGTACATTCTCTTTTCTCTTTCTGTTTATATGATTTTGATTTACCAAATAAAAGAAATAAACCTTGCAATCACCTAATAGTATAAGAAATAGAAACGGAATAAAACATATGCAATGTTAAACTTAAAACTATATTTAAATAAACAAAAAATGTTTTTTTTTAACTTAATGTCCACTAATTGTGACTAGCAAAAAGAGATTAGAAATGAGCTGACCAATGATGTCAAACAAGTTTCTCATAACTTATAACCAGACATGAGATAGTCTTAGTACTAATGACTTTAATGAAAATGATTGACAGAAAGAAAGCATATCCTTACAAGAAGCAATAATCTTTTAACAGGAAGAAAATCAGATGTCTTCAAAAGATCCTTTTGCCAAAGATCAGCTTGTTGCAGATTCAACCATGGACCCAACAGAAGTCCACGTAATCGAACCTCAAGGGAGAGAATAAGACATATGATCTCTCTAAGATGTCCATTCTGGGTCTTCCTGGGTTGAAGCCCAACTAAAGCACTTTTAGACACTTCCAAAACAGGTTTCACCACAGAAATAAACAAGCAATCCCTGTCATCATTTGCAACTTTGCAAGAAAAGCACCACCCACATTTTTCCTTTTGGGCAGCTGCATTCAGGTTTTGAACACTTGGCCAACAAAAGTTAGTACATTTCTTCATAATGGCTTTTGCTTGGTCAGAAACTATTTCTTCTTCAGACATCGCAAAACTCTTATTCATCTTTTCAGGTGACTTACACATCAACTCTTGTGCAACTAATGAGGCCATTCGGGCAAAGCTGTAATAATTTGTGTAGTCAATCCCACAAGGTAATTCTGAAGTATCCTTATTGTCCACGGAGGGGGTACCACTAGCACCTACAGATCTTAAGTTTATTTTACGTCCCACATCTAAGCTTGAAGATGTCAAAGAACAGTCACCAATGAGATGGTGTTTTCCTGGTATTCCTGACTGATCCAAGGATTCATCAGATCTATTGGAATCATAAAGCCCATGCATTGGAACATTCTCTGTGCCTGATCTCATTTGTGTGGTATCAGCTGATCCTTCTGAAGCAACACAAGGACTTTCTATAGTTGTCATTGAGTCTAAGCGGTTCCCAGCTTTTGGAAACTCATGACCAGGATGATTACAACAATCAATAGTTGAGTTTTCATCCAACTTCCTTTGATCGTCAGCCCGACTATTGTCCAAACATGTTTCTGAAGAAGGAAAAGGTGCTAAGCATGCATTCACAGCAGAATATTCTCCCTTCATAAGCATGTTCTTGCAGGAACTTTTATTAAAGACTGCCAAGTTACTAGCACCTGCACATATGTCAGAAGGGATATCCCAATGTTTGTAGATAGCCATTAATATGCCTTCATATAAAGTATCCATAGACTTTAGAAATTCAATTACTACATGTAGATCATTTTTGTGGTAGTAATTGAACGAGGAACCCGCATCAGATGAGTTTGACCTGCAAAGGTTTCAGCATACAAATAAAGTAAGAACATACTAAGATGATTAAAAGCAGCACAGAATAGTTTGACGTCAGTGATATGGTTTGCATTTTTACACAATATCCATTTCAAAGTTCACATTCACTGGATGAAACTAAATAATTTAGGGAAGAGTCAGTTTGTGATAGAAAAGAATGGTCAAATAGACATGGACAAGTAAAAATGCAGGTAATCTTCATGTTGTCTCTTAGACGCCCTGCATAAATCTGGTCCGATACATGAGGAATAACAGTGGGAAAAACTAGCAAGCAGCCTAAAATTCCAACTGAAAGTCATAGAGCCATCACCCGTAAAAGAAGTTGATGTCACTAATCAAAGAATATTTGGCAAGTTAACAGTAGAAAACTAGTGATGGAGGCACCAATATGTAAGTTCATCCAGAAAAAGGGTATAACTATGCTTACACCAACAGGTAACCACAGCTGCTAAAATAAAGACAGCCATGAAGATCAATCCCTAATAAGTCTGCTCCTCGAAGTGACCTTCGTGATTTCATCAAAGCATTGTGTGCACCAATTGCACACTCAGGGCAATACCAGTCACCTTCAGGCAGATTGTCACTTTCAATGCCCACACACCTTGAGTGGAATGCAGCAGGGCAACCATCACAGCATATTAAACTCCCATCCATCTTGCAAAGGCAGCATTCATCACTGTTCGAGTCAGTTGTGTCATCCACGATCTGCTCAGTCAAGCAAGAGCCACCAGACACATCCATTACAGCTCTTTTTTTCTTGCAAGTGTCAAAATACATATTCTGATCAAAACCCATACCGGTCTCAGTTACCAAAGATCTTCTGTTAAGCTCTGACCTTATGGCTTCCACTTCAATCATGTCATCACACAGGTGCTGAAGAATCTCAACCTTCACAATTACAGGTTGTTTGTAGTAGTCAGTTCTGAACATTAAGTGGTTAAGATCAAAACCAGTTTTAAATCCTGAACCATGAATCAGAAGGTACTCAGCCATGAAAATGGGCCATGTGACCAGGTCCAAGAAATCCCAGTTAAGATTTCTGCATTAAAATAAAAATATAAAAATAAATATAACACAGTCAAACAGATTGACTAGCATGACGAATGAAAGATTGAAATAAAATAAACCTCAGGCAATTGGATGCAGATTGGCAACCCTCATTGGAAAGGTATTCCAAATGCTTTCTCAGAGCTTGCAAAATAGAAACATGAATGCTGTCAAATAGTATACTTGGGTTTTCAGACTTCAGTGCAGCTACAAGATCCTCCAACTCAAATGGACTCAAAAATAATAAAGTACTGAATGATCTTAAACAAGCGTAAATAGAAAAAAGTTCAAGGACAGGAACATCATCTAAACTCAAATTTTGAGAAGAAGGGGGTAATTGCAGCTTTGGCAGTGAAACACTGCACTGTTCATCTTTCTCAGAACCAGAAATTACAGGTTTTTCTTCTGCCAAGGCACTGGTTCCCAATGACAACAAAGGATCATCTGTCACCTGCAATGATATGGTGCTAGAAACCTGTTTTCTAGCTAATGCTCTGCGAGAACTCCTCCTTAAAACCGTCTCTGGGGTGGTTTTTGGATTGTCTGATAGTTTTCTTCTCTTCCTTCGGCTACTTCCATGTTTGCATGGACTTCCTGGATCATCTTGGTATTCATGAATTATGGAAAAACCAGCTTCAGAAGGACAACCCATATGCTGAACCTCCACAGAATCACAATCCCTCACAGAATTAGCATGTGAAACCTGAAGAGAATCAATAGCTTCTGCACCTTCTTTGCCATCATCTCCTTCCTTTTCCGCAATCAAACACAAGGAAGCATCTTTAGCCGCATGCTCAGCAGAAACATGAATTACCTCCACTTTGACAGCATCCAAGACATCATTTGAGTTACCATGAACACCGTCTTCTTCTATAGATATATGATTAACATTTTCCATTTCCTCTTGGAGCTTCCCCGTCTTGCCGAACAAAGCACCTACCTCAGAATGTCCCTTTCCAGCAGCATCACCCTGAGTTTCCTTAACTTCTTCACATACCTCCACATTCAAATCAAAATTACATTCCCGCTGCCATGTTTCCCCTCCAGAACAACCCAAATAACCCGCATTCAGGCTGGCATCGTCCTCGTTATTCACATCCAAATTCAAATCAATACAATCTCTTCTCTTCAAACAACCCTCAGTGTTAACAGGCGAACTACACACGTCATTCAGATTAAAATCCTCGTTCAGATTAAGCCTAGCATTCAAATCAAGCCCATTTATAACACAATTCCCATTAGCAGAGACACTCCTATTCAAATTCTCTTCAAACACAATTTCCTTTCCTAAAGTTTCTTCACTCCCGTTTTCAATTACACCCGCATTCACACTACACATAACATTCCCTCCATTCCCATTTCCCTCACTCGAGCCCCTCTCAATTCCACAACCTAATTCACCACACACTACCGAATTCCCACCATCAGAAGCATTCTCATACAAAATCCCCCTAAATTCACTACCCTCCGCCCCCAAATTCTCCCTAACATTACCTGAAGCAGCTCCGGTTTCGAACTTCCGGTCAACACGACGCCGCTTTTTGGGCTTCCGACCGACCCGAGACTTAGCCTTGGCAAGCTCCGGCTGAAATTCCAAGATGGAAGCGACCTCAGAGGATTCCAACTCCTCAGAATCACCATCTTCGTAAAGGATCTCGACAAACCCAGAGGAAGGGTCGTAAGATTTCACAGTTCCCGAGATAACCCCAAACCCCTTCACCTCTTTCTTGACAGTTTTCCCCACAAACTCCATTTCAAGACAAAGAAAAACACTATAATCCTAACACAGATTGTGATCTCTATAAGGAAATTGAGAGGGAAAATAATTTCTAGAAAGAAAAAAATAAAATAAGAATTGATCGAAACAGAGAACTGGCCGAACAGAAAAGAAAAAACCCTGGGTGCCTTCGGGAGCAAAAGAAGAGAAAAATTGGAAGTGTTTTGAAACGGAAATGAAGGGGCCAAGGAAATATAGAGAGAGAGAGAGAGAGAGAGAGGGAGAGGAAAAAAAAAGTGTGCGGAAGTTAGAGCGAAATCCAAATGCGACTCTTTCTCTCTCTCTCTCGCTATAAAGTGGAAGTGGGTCAAACTAGGTAGTGTGGAGAGAGAAACCGAACACTGACAACAAATTGTTGTAGTTAAAGAGATTTTTTTTTTTTTTTTTTTGTTATCAAAAAAAAAAAGAGATTTTTTTTATTTTCCAAAGAAAAGGTTATTTTTTATTTATTTTTTTTGTATTTAAATAGGTTATTTATGTTGTGCCTACAATTTATATTGCACCAACATGGACAAAATATAATACGATCAGACACTTAGACACGTTAATTTTAAAAAATGTTAAATTTTGACACGTTAAGACACGTATAATATTTTTAATTTATGTAGTGTATATTATATTTAGTATTTAATAATTTAACAAAAAAAATAAAGTTAAACTTATAATACCCATCAATTTTACGAAGAAACGTAAAATATCTCAAATGTTTATATTAAACTCAATAAAATTTAATCGTAATCTAACAAATATAATGATTGTAACTCAAAATGCAATGCAACGTAATTTTTGAACCTTTATTAAATCTTTGCAACGAGTATTAGAGTATTGAAAAGTGTCCAAGTGAATGTCGAAAATGTAGGATACGACATGTCAGAATTTTTAAAATATCGGTACTTCATAGTCTATAACGACTTTACTTTAAGTCACAATTTTTAATGTGGATTTTTTTATTTAATTTTTAAAAATTTTGTTTTTCATAAAAGGGATAGTTCGTAGTTGGTTGGTTGGTTGGTTGGATGGGCGGGTTGCCTTTTCATTGTTCTTATTATTCTATTTGCAATGTTGCTCCTAACATCATTTTTAAAATACCACTATGTTGCCGGAAAAAGAATATAATATTTACCCAACACTTTTATAGTGTAGATGTGTTTCTGTTTGAGAGAGATGCAGTATGTAGGATTATGTTATTCAGATAGTGTCTAGACAAAAATATCTATAACAAAATTTCATATACATTTTTTTTAAACTGTTTTTTTTTTTTTTCTTTTTTCGATAATTAGAACAAATTAGGCAATTAAATGCTCAGGATACATATAAATAATGCATTTATATCAGGCATATGATTCAGTAGCAAAAGTGATATAGTAACGCCACTTTTGGCTTTTCTTCATCCGTTCAAGGTTTACCAATTAAGGGGGGGAACTTGAAAATACGAAATAGACTTTCGTGTTCAGTGCTCACCAAAGCAAGCCTCAATGGGAAATAACAGATTGAAAAATCAATAAAAGAGTGTAATTTCTATTGTATTTATCATTGGATTTGTGAAGTGTGTTGAAATTAGAAGTCAAGGATCCATCCACCTACGTATGTCTCTATTATATTTAAGTGCAGATTGTACAATGTACATGGTTGATTTCTCTATATTTGTCATAATAACTTTTTTACATGATTATCACGTCTTAATTTATTATTCTATTAGCTTTTTTCAATATTATAACGTTGTCACTCATTTCACGTGACTTTTATTCAGTTTTTTCCTTTCAAACTACTGATATTTTATTTCATTCGACTCATGCACTGCGTTTTTATTTCAATTTACATTTCATATGTTTGCAAATTGCAATAATTCAATTAAATGAGTATCAACTCTTTAATGATTAGTTTTAGTTACATCACTAATATAATATGTATCTAAATTCAGTTTAAAAGGGATGCAAGTAAGGAATATATAAGCAGGAAAAGTTATGTACAAACGTAAACTTTATTGAATCAATTAAGCATCATAAAATATTTGAGATATTAAAGTTAATGGAAGAATATTATGATAATGGGTATCAAGTAAAATAAAACAAATAGCCATGAAGATGATGTGTAAAGAAATTGCGCTTATATTTACACTATATGTGAGAATTACGCCTGATATTCTATTTTATTCAAATGTAATGGTTCAAAAACAATTCAATTATAAAATAATAATTATCAAAATTTGTAAAATGGAGATTATATGTGTAATTTGTAATGTGTATTAGATGAAGAAACATAATTTGACTTTACTAATTAAATATATTAATTTAAAAAAATGATAAAATGATAATATTTTTTTATAAAATATTAATGGATGACTTCAATTTGAATTTCGAAATGGTAATTTAAATTTGAATTTTGAAAATCTTGCATTTATTTCTCCATTTATCATTGTTCAATGCCAAATTAATTATCATTCAATGTTGTAATCATATATATATATATATATATATATATATATATATATATATATATATACTATCATGTTAAAATAAGATTTTTTTCCTAATACACATTCCTTGATTTTCTCCCTAAGTTGCTCTTTGATTTTTTACTTAATTTATCGATCTCGTATCTTTTAATTTATATAATTTTTCAATATAGAAAGAGGGCAAGTTATTTTTACTAATGTAAGAATACAAAGTTTTACACTAACTTTTACCCGTTGATTCTTTATTATATTTTAATTAATCAAAATTTATAATTTATATATTTAACCAAGTATCGATTAACTTAATATTTAGTAATTCTCTGATCAAGTTGAACTAAGCGTCAACATAGTTGGGTAAGGTTGAAGTGGTAGGTGCAATTTGGGCCAAATCTGAATCGTAAAGTATGGACTCAACAAATGAATTGGGCTTTACTGGACTGAGTTCAGAATTATGAAAAGTGAGTTTTTGGGCTTATATCTTAAACAAGGGACTGCACCGTAAGCCTAGGCTTTTTTATTGTATTTTGTTTATGCATTACATTATATATACATAGGGTTTTTCTTTTTTCATGTTATATGAGATAACATCTCTCATATTATAGACATAACAAGTGATAGGTCTCATCACTTGTTAAAAGAATAAAAAAAAAAATTAGCACAGATTTCAATGCCTCACAACATGAGAAAGCAATCTCCAACAATATGAGAAAATGATTTTCCATGTACATATATACTTTTGTCAAATGAAATTAAAAGAAAAGACCTGGATTTTTTTTTTTAACCGGATTGAACACTACTATATTTATTTGATAAAGCATAAACGGCCGCGTTATTGCTCGTTCACTTCAAACTTCAAAGTAACGTTTTTCTTGCTAATTTACACAAAAAAAGGCAATGTATTTTGTTTATCTTAATAATATTGAAATGATTTTTTTTTTTACACACGAGATAATATCTATTTGAGTTGTCCTATGTCGTAACTGGAATAATATATGTTTGTCCTGCGATAGGCAGTATATGTTGAAAGTTATAGATATTGTTTATAATTTGGATTAACACGATATGACACAATATAACATAAATTTGGCAATATAAATATATTCATGAATTTAAAAATGGGTTAAGACATTCTATACAAACACGTCTCGTTTATGTTTCAGGTTGACATGGCACGACACAATACGAATTCAACAAGAACAAGAATACATTCAACACGAACTTAAAGTGTGTCAATTATTATGTGAGTTGATACGATACGAATAACCTGTCAACCTCAAAATGTTTTGTTTATTATGCATGTTGATAGACACACAAATAACTTGTAATAAAATTAATGTGGGTCAAATTTGTGTTTATGGATTGACAGGAAACATGACATGAATTTTTTCTTGTTAATTTTTTGCAACATATACACAATACGAATTTAAAAATAAATCAACCTAAATATAAATTTTTCGTGTGCCACCCCTGTTAATTATATACATAATACCCCTATTACTATTTATGCTTGTGCCACCCTTGCTAATTATATACATAATAAGTTCTCTTTGCAGTAGTTACGACATTTAGTTTAACTTTATAGATCCTGATGAACCGATTCTCAATATCAAATCAGCAGTTCAAGTCATGAAATCCAATTCACGCAAGAATTATCACCATCTCAAAAACCCAAGTTCCTCTTCTAGTTGCTTCTCACAAAAGTCTCTGTTACGAAGAGATATTATTAATTCAGTACCTCACTCTATTACAAGTATTAACTCCGCACTTTAATAAAGTGTCTTGTTTGGTCAACAATAATCCTTTTTACCTGATCCAATTATTTAAATATTGTTTATGAATTGATTACATGCCCCAATTTTCCAACAGCCACCATACCAACCGAAAAAGCAAAGCATAAGAAAAGATGACATGGGGGAAAGCATGATTTTCTTTTGCTGCGGTTGACATGATATATATATATATATATATATATATATAGAGATCATTTGACTCAAGAGTAAGACTTATAAGTCTTACTCTCCATCCTAACCGTTGATTTCCGTTCATCCAACGGTTATAATTTAGGAAATTATATTAATTAATTAATTATTAATTATACTATTAATGACAACCGTTGATTTCCGTCCATCAACGGCTGAGATTTGGAGTAAGACTTAAAAGTCTTACCCTGGAGTCAAATGATCCTACCTCATATATATATATATATATATATATATATATATATATATATATAAATTTGACACCTCATATTGATTAGATATGTCATATGCTTACAAATCAGAGCTATTGATCTTTGTTGTTCTAACGGCTATTAGATGAGGTGTCAAATTTGAAATTTGATACCGGTGTCAAAAGATCCTACCTATATATATATATATATATATATATATATATATATATATATATAATTTATATATATATGACACCTAACGGCTATCTTTGAAATTTGATTAGATCATATATATATATATATATATATATATATATTGAGGCAGATCCTTTGACACCGGTGTCAAATTTAAAATTTGACATCTCATCTGAGAGCCGTTAGATAAAAAAAATCAATGGCTCTGATTTGTAAGCATGTGACACCATTGATCTTTTTTGATCAGACGAGGTGTCAAATTTCAAATTTGACACCGGTGTCAAAGGATCCTACCTCTATATATATATATATATATATATATATATATATATATATATATATATATATATATATATATATATATATATATATAACACTAAAGAACAATTTGGCAAATTGGATCATCTGTCACCACTAGTCGAAATATCAGACCATAATTTACAAATCTTCCAAACATGACATTTGACAATCGTCACTATGACCAAAACACTAAAAGCAAAAACATTGTATTGTTACATTACATCCGTTTGGAATAAACCACCTAACTTACTAAGCATATGGGGCAATGATTTTTCAGGACTGATCCAAGTCCACTAAAAGCCAACTTGCTATATTTGCTGAAAGTGAGTCAACATTATATGTCCTGGGATTTAGAAAATTAACTTACACTAAATAAATAAATAAATGAATAAAAAAAAGATGGTGGATACTAGATACATGTTTGGGTATAGGAATTCATAAAAATTAAATTGATCATCAGTAAACAATGAAACTGCAAGCAGAACACGAATTAAATCTTTTCATTTCTTCTGTCCCTCTTCTTTTGCCTTTCTTTGTCTTCCCAAATATTTCTCTCTTGATGGAGTATATTGGGAAATAGGAGTATGTTTAAAAACTCATCTTCATGAATATTCATTACCATACAGACAAAATACTTTCATACAAAGAAAAGAAAGAAAGAAAAAATATTACCATCAATACAAATCCCTATTAGTTATGTCTTTTAATTATGTCTTACTTCCTAGATCTCCAAGCTGATATTGAAAACAAGGACCGATCCTGCCAGCAAATTAGTACACAACCATTTTCGTCCCTCATTCTGTATCCCTCACAACCATAGCTTTGTAGCAACCGATTTGCTTGCAACATACCAAAATAACTTAAAGGCACGTTACCAAACCCAGCTAAATCAAATCTCTGGAACCACTTATCCAGCTTTTCATGCCTTTCCTTTCGTTCAGACCCCTCACATGCAATTATGTTCTTGATTTCCTCACCAAAAAGCATCTTCTCCACCCTAAATCTCTCCAAGGATGTTCTTGAGACAGTGGATTCCACACAATCAAATAATGCTGCATAAGAATATAGAGCTTCTAGTAGCCTCTCCATTAGAGTTGAACCATTATGATTAGAGTCTTGTTCTGTTACAACCATGACCTTTGGTGATAATACCCACAAGGCATTAAGAAAGCTTTCCATGTTCATCAAATTTGAAGTACTTAAAGATGCTGGTGACGATGAGGTTGAGTCAGGACTTGGGGTATACGTATACCCATTAACCATATCTTTCTCAAGCAAATCACCCAATGTGCTTTGGCTCATTGGCAGCACTCTTTGCAGGTGAATTCCATTTGAGCTTTTTGACAGAAGAGGAGATTTTCTCTGCATGGCTTCATCATCCAAAGCTAAAAGGGAATGCAATTGGAGAATAGAACTTATTGCTAGTGCCTCCCCAGTTTTTACACGAAGTTTGTCAAAATCAAGGTTTTCCAATTTGCTGACTACAGGATTGAACTGGAATGGTATATCCAACTTTTCTGCTTCTTCAGTCAGCCTATGAGCTATCTGATCCAGAATCTCTTTCTTCTGATGAACACCAGTGATTCTCAAATGAGGAGGGCCTTCAGGACGTGCACTCAAAACTTGGAGGAGAGAAATCCACTGAGCAGGTTCAGCAGCATTGAGATCGATTATATGAATCATTTTCTCCCCTTCCATTGCTTCAATGATTGCCTGATTTGTCAGAGCAAAAGCTACCTTCAAGAAAGGGAAAAGCTCAAAGAAGAGCTTCTGAACAAGAATTTCTTCAGAAACCATAATCATTCTAGTTGAGTTGAGTGCTCTGTGAATCCCAGGCCATGTTTTAAGTATTCTATCAGCAAGTGCTTCTGAAAAATATGCTGCAATCCGCTGCATAGTATCCCCATCAGGGGATGCAAGAAGGGAAATTTGCTCAAGTGTGGTATTTGCATTTTCAAGACTTCCAGCAGCAACATGATTTGCACAAGAGAGCAACAAATGGATCAAGTACAAACCCCTTTCCTCGGGTTTCAGTTCTCTAAGCAAGAAATTCGGAGATCCTAAGCTAGGTGAAAGTGACATCATGGAGAAAAACTGCAGTGGTGAAGGAGTTACAGAAGATGACCCTTCTTCTTGCAACATAAATCCCATGTAACAACAACAACAATCTTAGGAATTTGGAAATAACGAAAGGGTGATGATTGTCAATAGTAAGAAAGAGGCACAATGGAGTCACAGATAAATTTGATTAAGTTGAACAAAAAAAAACTTTAGGCTCATTCAGATAAAAACATCACATTTTACAACAATTGGGACTTAGAAGAAGCCAATGAATACGGAATGACGAAGAAAACACAAATTCAAAGCACAACATTTAGCAAAGAAGATTTTGCAGTTGACTTGTGCAGATCCCATAAGCAAAGCAAAGTAGGACAAGCAAAAATGAAAAAGAGAAACAGTAAAGATTGATTATAAGAAACTGGATGACCCAAGTTAAGAACTTTGATCAGAAGCTCGAGCTTTTTTTTATCTCAGAAAGTGATGGTAAAAGATTCTACACCAACTCAGCAAAAAAACATGGAAGCAGTTACAAGAAGAAGAGGGAAACCTACCAGGACCAGGTAAGCAGTGTCAGCACAATAACTAGCCATTGTAACCAGGAAACACTTATCCTTCAGTGGGTTTTCAAATTGAAGAATAATCCAGCTGAAGCCCCAAGAAAATTCCAAAGCTTGCCTCTTGGAACACTCTGAAAAAACCAGAACCGTAACGGGTTCCTCTGTTAGTGTTTATTTATTTATTTATTTTTATTTTATGGGAGTGAGTTTCAATGTTTGGACTCTAGTTTTGGTTTCAAGGACTTCTTCATGGCTACGTTGTCGACAATGTGTGAAGGGTCCCTTTTGTCTTTATTGTTTTGTTGTCCTTCAAACCTTAGTGGAGTATGGAATTTGTGAGAAGGTGAGCCTTTAGGAAATTTCTCTATCTCTATCTCTCTCTAGAATTGTCCTTTTCTTTCTCTCTCTAGAAGCTGGCTTTCTTTTTCTCAGGGCTGGCCAAAAAGCCTTTTAATATTCCCAAAGGTTACATGAATCCAAACATGCCTTGACAAAGACAAACATTACCCTCACAGTTTTTGCTTCCGAGTGGGGTGTGCGTGTGAGAGAGAATGACAAGAAGGCTCCAAACATGCTTCCAAATTATGGTTTTGTTTTATTTTCAAAAGCAATTGACCATACAATTGGTATTATCTTCTTTTTTTATTAGGACAAACAGACACGGAGGTTAAGGAAACATCCAAAAGGGGATTGAACATTTATCTTTACTTGTGGATTCTTAGGTGGCAATTACGAAAACCGTAGCACCCTGCCGTTGTTCTTAGGAATTCCCAACTTTCATACAAAATTGCCAAAAATCACCTAACTCTTAGCACAAAAGATTTAGTATATCTCATCAATAAAAATATTACATATCAGTCAAAATGTTTTTTTTTCTGTAAAAATTTCTCTCTCTCCTATAATGTGTAATGCTCTCATTAATAAAATGCATTGAATTTTAATGCAACAGTAGCACCAAAAATTTATTCGCTGGTTAGGTGCTATGTGATCAGATATTTGTATTGGTTTACAATTATAAACTAGTATGACACCATAGCATCTGATTTTATTTTATTTTTTCATATAAAAGATTATTGATTTGGTCTTTGGAAATATTCTTTTACCTAAAGTTTAACTTTTAAATCTTTTTTTTTTATGAATTAGTTGTTCTATCAGCATATTATTTTTTGTATTTCATTTTAGTCCCTGCCAAGTACTAATTTAATATAACTTTGTAAGTTTAAAGATCAACTTGTGTACATAAATAAATTCATGAATTAAATTGCGTGTGAAGGATAATTTAAGTGACTAAGTTGCTTATTTATTCTTTCTTTTTTTCCTTAAATTCGTAGGTTAGTAAAATAAACAAAGATGGAAAATAAACACGAATGCACATAAATACAAAAATATGTCTGTACCCATGACAAATACGTGCCTTCAATTCGAATTTATTTATTTTTATTGGTAGATTATTAGTAAATCTATATTACTAGTTCGAAAATCATCATCATGACCTTACAGTGGAGTAATTTTTAATTTTTCTATACAAAAACATAAATAAATACAAAACGACAGAAAAAATAAATGTATGCGTACATCTTAATATTTAAATTAAGAATTATATTTATAATTGTTAAAATATTATCCTATATGCACAGAATATATTACTTGAAAATAAAGGATGCTTGAATTGGAGGATATTTACCCAATTGTCGGCAGCAGATTCATGAACATATCATAATGCAACTCTTCAAAGATCACATACATCAACCTATAAGAAGTTAAAAAAAAAAAAAAAAAAGGAAGAAGACATAGCCTATCCACTGCATTCCTAGGTCAATTTATATCATGGGACAAGAAAAAGTTTGCTGCCCACAGTTAAGGACCTGATGCAGTACATGTACCAAACTATAGACAAACATTTAAGAAGGAGGGAAGCGTGAGAAAGATGGGACAAGAAGGCTGGTGCGTTATGTTAGTTATTTATTTTTTAATTTAAATTAATATACTTTTGTTAACAATTATAAAAGTATTTTATTATTTTTAATTGTAAAAAATATTGAAAAAAAGATTTTTCTGTTTTTATCTTCTTTAAAAAAAACATTTAAAAATATAAAATAAAATAATGTGATATTTTTTATTAAAAAAAGAGAGTAAAGAAGGGATATAAAGATTAATGATATAAAACAGGCATTTTAACCCCAAAAAATAAAATAAAATTGACAAACAGGCAAAGCAACTCCCAAGTGTGAAAGAGCTAAGGAGGAACCACAAGAATTGTTGAAGGTTTTGAGAAAGGGAAACAATTTTATACCTGGGAGATTTATACATATTTGAATATAATAATTTATACGGAGGGTGTTAATCTATTAAATAAAATAAAATTGTCACTATTTATAAATGTGTTCGGTATCTCTCTTTGACTTAAAAAAAAGTAGAAAATAATATTAAATAAAGGGAGATGATTTTCATTTTAGTTCATTCCTATTATCTCAATGATTTTGCTCCATCTATAGAGTTTTAGTCTTATACAAATTATATAAGGCAAGTATTTGAATTAGTTATTTTCGAAACTGTGAAGAAAAAAAAATTAACAGCTTTTAGATTTTTTATTTTATAAAATTGATCAATTATTAAACATGCACTAAGTGTGTGTTGAAATTAACTTTTTAAATAATAATACTGATTCTTTTAGCAATTTTTTTAGAGCAATTTTGGAAGAAGAAAAAAATTCTCATGATTTAAGTTAAACCAAACACAATTTAAGTTAATTACGGGAGTAATGCTATACTATTTAAAAGTATCACCTTATGTGTTATCAATTAGGAGCATCTTACCTCCAAATGAGCAAGATGGAGATGATTATTTGCGCTGGAGCTTAGACCATTCAGATCGGATTTCAGTAAAAGCCATGTATCAAACTCTTACAGGTAATGTTTCTGATACTCCTGGCAGTTCAGAGATTTGGAAAAAGATTTGGAGTTGGGAGGGTCCTCTAAGTTGTCCGATTATTTTTGTGGAAGGTCCTTCATAACAGACTGCCAACAAAAACTAGGTTGAGTTCTTTTGAACTAGGCCAAGCTTAATGTCCAATCTGTCTTGTTGAGGCCGAAACATCTTTGCATTTGCTTAGGGACTGTGTGAAAATGAAAGTGCTTTGGGCTGATTTAGTTCCAATTGGTTTGCATAATTCATTTTTTACTGCTGATCTTCATGGTTGGCTGGAAAAAAATTTATCTTGTTTGGACAAGTTTACAAATAATATACCATGGTGTATTGTGTTTGGCACTACCTGCTGGTTGGCTTGGAAATGGAGAAATGACTTAGTCTTTGGAAATCCTATTTCTTCTCTTTTCTATAAGAAGAATTCGGTTATTAGTACAGCTGAAGAGTACAAATTGACTTTTCATTCTGCTTCCTGTAATAGATTAATCAAGCTCAGAGCTGAAATTTTCATTAGTTGGAAACCACCATAAGAGAATTGGATTAAGCGCAATACTGATGGAGCTGCTAGGAGCACTCAAGGTTTAGCAGCTTGTGAAGGTATTGCTAGAAATCATGAGGGTCACTGGCTTAAAGGTTTCTCTTACAGGATTGGAAATTGCAATGCTCTCAATGCCGAACTGTGGGGTATACTTAAAGGTTTGGAGATGGCTTGGGAGGAAGGCTGGAAAAATTTAATTGTTGAATATGATTCAACATCTGCAATCACCATTCTTTCTAGAAGGTGAGTCCCACTTGGTGACTCGCATACGGACTTGGTTCCAAAAAGATTGGAATATTCAACTTGTCCATACTTATAGAGAAGGAAATTATGTTGCTGACTAGCTGGCGAATTATCCTCTGGACAATACTACTGCTCCTGATATGTGTAGCTTCGGTTTTCCCCCTTTTCAGATTCAGTCTGTTTTTATTGCTGATTTAGCCTCTGTTTATAGAGCTCAAACAGTGACTGTTTTGTAGTTTCTTGCTGGGATTTTACTCAGCATACCAAATAAAAAAGTATCATCTTAATAAGCTTCTTAATACTTTATAAAAAAAAAAGTCTTAAATAAAAAATAATACTTTATAAATTCTCAATACATTAAACGATTTTATTTTATTTAATATTTAATATTTTTTGTTTCTTAACCAGTATCTTAAAACATTTAAAAAAAAATCATATAATTTAATTCTAATTACAAAGTAACAGATCGTAATTTTAAATTCATTGTTTTATGAGTGAGGATATTCTAACTTACAAAAATTTTCACTACTAACTTACTACCCATCACATCACCAATGAATGAAAGAGAGAGAATTTGAAAAAAAATTTGAAGAGAGAGAAAATGTTAATCTAATTGATTAGATAAGTAGTAAGTTGGTAGTGAAAAATTTTGGTAGTGAAAATATCTCTCCTCTTGTTTTATACGAAAATTTATATATTTATTTAATATAAAAGAATGGTGGGTTAAATACGCAATTACCTCAGTGAACACGAGAAATTTTCCTCTATCTGCGAATCAATATTTATATTGATCAGTGTCGTGGTGCTGCTTCGAGAATCAAGCCTTGGTTACGACAAAATCTTCATAGCAAACTAATCAGTCAAACCTTTCTGATGCAGAGAATAACGGTAAGGAGTATTTTATCAGAAGTCAGAACACGTCATTATCTTTTGAATCAGTAGTTCTTACCAATAATAGTAGGAGCTGAGATACTGCTGGAACCTAGTCGGTAGATAAGAGCCTTGTATACCCTAAAGCAAGTGGCATGTGGCAGAAAATCTAGCAAAGGATCTAAAACACTAGAAGAGAAGAGAGAACAGAGCAATCTACGAACCAAAACAATGTTTTGTTGGCATGGTAAGAACAATTTTAGTATGATAGTATCTAATGGAACAAAAGGTACAGTAATAAATTAAAATCCATTTAGGAGGCTCGTCTTTAATGACGTGCTACCTGCTTTGAGATTTCATCTACCGCAAAACGGAAGATTCACATTTCTCAAGGCATGTGAAGCAAAAGGAACAATGATGTTCATTCTCTCAGACGTCCAGTGGCATTGAGATAAATCCCAAACATACACAGCTATTGGAGCCAAATGTTGTACGCCATAGTTTGAAATTGCATGGTCAGAAAGGCTAGCATCATGTCTACCAGATCCTTTTAATTTCAAAACCTTCCCCTTCACTGTTCATATGATTCCAACAAAAACTTTGTCCGACTCATTGGAACATCTTCAGCTAATTTATGCTAGACCGAGGTTGAAGAGAATTGTCAAAACCACCGGGGACAAATACGGGAAGCTGGTTTGATAATGAATCCCTTTTATATCTTGGCTCTTGGGGTAAGTTTATTGCTGTGCTATCTTGGGTCTCTGCTGATCCCAAATGTCTTTCATTTTTTAAACCATCCTTAACAGGGACACTAAAAAATGGACCACCAAAAAAGATAGAATCTCCTGTATACATCAGATTCTGAGAATGCTGCCCTGGAGATTTGGGTGCAGATGATGATAACTCCTGCGGAGGAATCATTGGTTTTCTCCCAATACTGCTTGTTTCAGCATTTAAATTTGGCAATTCTATTCGCATGGATGACCTATTTCGAGCTTCCGAGGGCAATAAAGGGACCGACACATATCTGCCAGCTTCTTGATCCCAAACAACAGATGTCCGTTTCACCTCTCTTAGAATAGAAGTGCTAGAAGCTGAAAGCAATAACGGATCATTACCGACTCCCTTTGGCACCATTCTTCCATCAAATCCAAGAGAAGGGTTAGATATTGGGTTCCTCAAGTTTGACAAAGTTGCATTAGAAGGTAAAGGACGCTCAGGCACCAGACTAGGAATTGAGGCACCTGCCCTAAAGCCACCCAAACTGTGGCCCTGTGGAAGAGGGCTTAGAGACACTGCCTCTTGAACATGGCTTGGACTACTGAAACTACTCATACTATGAGTTCCAGTTTCATACTCATCACGACTTCCTTGACTAGGAGCCATAGAATTTCTCACTGGAGACAATCTCAACTCATATTTTATCTCTTTATTAGTTCCAGTCTCCGTGCTCAAACTACTTCTGATGCTCATGTTGCCACTAGAGCTTAATTCTTGATCTGGTAGACGGGGATTATCTACAGGTCGCAAAACTGAAGAAGATGCCCTGGCTTTTGCAGCTGCTTTCATTGCCTCTTGTGAATCCAACTTAGCAAGCTTCCAAGCACTAATACGAACAGGCCTTTTTGGCATCTTTTGTCCTCTTTCTGCAATCCCAGCTGCATCTGGATCAACAGTTGACGGTAGCATTCCAGGCTCCAAGTGAGGCACAACTTCATCCTAAAACCCAAGGCGCTTAAATCAAGTCATATATACTTTTTAAAAACAACAATTTTTTTCTTGTAAGAAAAAAGTCAAATTGTTGATAGCATGTGATTTGCATCGAAAACCACATAAAATGTTCATTAAGTCACAAGTAAAAAAAAGGTATAAAATAAATAAATAGAAGGCGTGAACAATAGCTAATAAGGAAAATCAATGAGAATTTTATTTAGAAATTCTATAAGATTACTTGTCCTATCATGCTTTGGTTTTCTTAAGGGATTGCACGTAACAGCCCAATATAAATCCAGTCAAGGTTGCAGCATGGGTCATTAAATATACAGTTCATTCTTTGCCCCCATTCTTTTTGTTCTTCCTATTCATTCTTTCATCCATTTCTCATACCTATCCTACTTAAGACATTTAACACAACAATTCAGTTAAGGATACTGGCTATTGCTTGGAACTTGGGATGATGGAGGCTTTCAGCAATACATTAATAAAACCTTTTTTAAAGAGTTAAGCAAGTCATACATCGCAACCGTTAGGATTTAACTTATGATTGCCATGCTGAAACATTTTAACATAACACAATTTTCATAATACCCCATCCATGGAAATATTTAGTCTCATGAAAATTATGCAAACAAAAGGGTTAACAAGCAATATGCTCAAAACAGTGAAGGAAATCCTGAAGTGAGTTTTAATTCAAAACATAGAGGCATGATTGTAATGCTCAATGGGTTATATTAGTTTATCGAACCACTTAACTTCTTTCTGTGCATTGGAAAGCTACTGATTTTTGGTTAATGCATGTTCTTCAAAATTTTAAAATAAGTAGCATTTGGATGATAGGAAAAGAATTTTTCTAGAGGTGATTTATAATTGGACAAAATGATCATATTTTATTAGGTATTCAAGTCTTAGACACTGCCATATGCAGCCTCAAAGTTAGCATTTCTGGCCACTTTGCTGAAGTTTGATACTCCCAATCCTACAATGCTGGTTGGACAAAAGTACCTTCTCCTCTTGTTATCTTCTGGAATTTTATGGTAATGAGGTGAAGATTTTGAAATTTATTATTCCACTATATTCCTACAAACTGAAATTTCTTGTCTTTTTCCTCATGCTATAGCAGTACCACTCTACATCCGTAGTCTATACAACAGAGTAATAACTATAATAACTTTTGCCAATGCAGGGGTTTTCTTAATATTAAGATTTCTAAATGGCAAAAGAACGTGCAAGAATTACTCATCATCCATTTGAAGTACCAAATGGATGTAGAACATCTTACAGAATTAAAAGTCATGATGGAAATGCTCAATGACATAATTAAACATCTCCTTTTAAAGGATTTAACTTCTGTACCTATTTGCAGTAAAATAGAATTAAACTAAATAATAAAAACTCCTGATGTCACCGACCCCAACTAGTTTGGGTCGGGATAAAGGTGATGGTGATGTTGAATAAAAACTCCTGATGCATTGATTATTGCCCAAGAGTCCTCATTAAGTTTCCTCACTACAAATCTATGATATCAAACCACAAGCCAAACAAACATCTTTCAGTACTTAATATAGTAGCAAAACTTATCTTTCGTTCAATCAAATAACTATACAGATAAAAATAAATTTCAATCCATGTACCTGATAATCCACGAATACCCTAGGAGGGGTACACCATGCCCCTTTATACTGCAAACCCAAAGAACTTCCTCCACTCAATCCAGTTGTGTTAGAGCCTGATGGAGAGTAAAGTACATTTGGTAAATCCTCATCCACAGATGCCCCTGCAGGTGCTTCACTCATGGCTCTCATTGCTACAACATATTCATAGGTTGTGATGCCCTGATGCAATAGGAAGAAAGGGGGGCATATGAGAGTATTGCTCCACGTGTGAAATAACTAAAATTACGGCCATAAACTAAAAGCAGGTTTTTGTAGTGATTTGTAGATCTCCATGCGGAAGCAAAACATACAAGGCATAGTTCACAAACTAACAAAGATAAATTCTATTCTAGTATGAATGTTCCTTCCTTCTATTTCGTTTTTTGCACCTGTTTAGGATGATGTTTTACCCTCCTCTGTCTTTGTATTCTAATTTCTCTAAATCAAATAATTTTTCTTCTTTTATAATAGAAAAAACAACCAAGTGAGTTTTCTGTTCCTAAAAGCAGATAATAGTAAGACAGCCAGAATCACTATTCTGAAACTTTTACCAGAGCATTTTTATGCAGAGACGAAACTATTATTTTCTTTTCTAAGTAATTGGATTTTAATTAGGGGAAAACAAATTATGAATACAAACCCATTCGAAAAATGCTCTTCTGATTCTAGATAAATTTTATAAAACTCCACCATGTGCACCTTAAGATCCATTGCAGAGAGTTCCCTCGATTAAACCAGAAATAGCTGAGCAGTACAGAACCATGTACAAAAGACTGGGGGTGGGGAGAAAAAAGAACAGAAAAACAACCTCAGACTCTCAGCTACTGAATCACTGACCTTCCTGATTAGTATCATGTGGAAAAAGAAAAGTTCACCCAAAGGCACACAAGCCAAGACAGAAACTGCAGTACATACGACCTACACATATAAATCCCAGAATCATAACAAATTGTCAAATATACTTAAAAATGACTATTTGCCATATGCCAGATTTACTATAAAACAAAAAATAAAAGAGATACCACAACTGCTGCAAATGGGGGACGAGAGAATCCATTTCCAAGTCTATCAATGATTTCAGATTCCATTCCTCTCTTCTTAACAAAGAAACGGACTAAAACAGCAACACCAACTCCAGCTTCAATAACAAGCTGAAATGCAGAATAATTATGTACAAAAGGCATTCTTAGCAACCAAAACAAAGTTATTGCTTTTAAAGAACAAATGTTTTGTATGGTTCAATATACGTACCCACGTAAGACTAAAGGCCATGAGAGCAATAAAAGAATGGTAATTTTTGTGACCCACACAGTTGTTAAGCCACTGCAGCAAGGTGATATATCAAGCGAAGCTCAAAGTTGAAAAGAAAAGATAAAAATGTTTTACCAAAATGGAACAATACTCCAAGATGTATGCTGACACTAAACACACCGAATCATACCCGACAATGGTGATCAAAGCCATCAACACATTTATCACAACTTCTACAATGTTTACTGAACTTGCGCACCTACAACACAAAGGGCATGAAATATACAAACTGGGTGAGAAGTGGAGATCTAAGGATTAAAGCTACTTCTCTAAATGCCTCCATAGGCAACTGTATGCAACCATAGATATTTAGAATATTAGAGTAACCAACATTGTGCCCCAAATTTCTAGTGGAACAGATTTCCAAAAAATATGAAAAAGGAATGAAAGCAAAAGGGCTCATAATTCACCAGCATCTCTGTTGCACAAGTTTCCAGGAAAGTGGAAGTCCGAAGTTAAATTAGGACCACAGATAGATAAAAAGTTTTGGCCAAATTATTTTTTTTTTTAAAAAGAGAGATATTATTGAAGAAAAAAGAAGAACATACAGGAGAACTAGATGTCCTTAAAAGGGGGGAAAATGAAAGATAAACAAACAAAAAAAAAAAATCATCAAAACCATATCTCCATCAAAAAGCGAAAAAAATCCCAAAAACCAAGGCTCCTCAAAGCTTGTGACCATTATTACATTTTTCCATGAAAAATGATTTAATATCATCTTAATGTTTTTCTCAGGCTCAGTTTATATAAAAAAAATGGTGTTTCTCAAAGAAAAAAATTCTAATGTTGAAGTTATTCATAATGTATTGTCCTTGTGACATTAGTATATGCGATTAACAGCAATGCAGGGGCTGGGTAATAGAAAATGTAACATATATCACTTACAACCAAACTGAATAGGAATGGAAAGAATGGAAATTGGAATATCGTTATGCAATGTGTCAAAGAGTCACAGATCACAATGTTATACCTCAGCATTGCACAAAGTGCAGAACAGAGCATCTTCACCACCACCCTGCTCATCAGCTGTTGCTTCCCGTTTCCGACAATCTTCATGTGAAAATAATATGCAGAAAATTCCTCCAATTACATCACATGAGTTTCGGTTATTCTGTTTCCTTGAACTATCTACTCTGTCAAGATCTTCCACAGAGCTTTTCTTGCTCACATTTGCCATAGAGCTTTTGGAAACAGCAGATGAAGGGGAAGAATGTTCTCCTGCTGCAATGTCATCATGTTCAGAAGCTTGATGCTTCCCCAATAAACCATGGGCAGAAGTGAACTTATTTCCAACTCTAGGGTCAAATTTAGACATAATTCCTGGATCCGCAGGGTTAATTGCAGTACATCTGATGTAAAGTATGAAGACAATGAGCGCCTGCAATGCCAAAAGAATGAGACAACATTATAAGCCATTCCTCTTGTAGGTAAGTAAATAAAATATAATAAAAGAGGTGAAATAATAAAAAGGAGATTAACATACCAGAGGAGAGTAAACAGCAATAAAGGTGTATTCCAATATATGGCCTCCAATGAAGGGAGCAAGGAAAGCATAGAAAGCAATCACCAATAAGCAGAATACAGTTATTGCAACAACCTATTCATGTAAAACCAACAATTTTAGAAACATAAGTTGACATGCCTGCAACTGATAAAATACAAGTCAGTGTAATCAAAATGCTAAACATTATATAAATAAACAAGAAAATAAAAAAAATAAAAAAAGAATTTGGATATATTTTACTGATGTAAGGATCAAATATATTTTTCTCATTTAAGTATTATACGGGTCCTGTAGTCTATAAATATTAAACCAGTTATATTACATATTAGGGTAATTTATACCCCTCTCTTTGAGATATGCTCAAATTATATTGTGCTCTCCAGTCTCCCCTATTTTGAAATATTACACTCTCATCCCCTGGGAGATTAAAATGTGCTACTCTTACAGTCCAATTTGAGAGAGTTTTTTTCGGGGTAATTTTCCTCTCTAGCATCATCAGCAACTAATTTCAAACCCCTTACTAAGTTACTATTGACTTTTGGGCTTTAGAAAATGAAGTGAAGTCTCAAAGCCGATAGTAAATGTGCTCAAAACTTGATTTCATCATCTAAAGTTCCACACTCGGTAGTAGGAGTGTTCAAAACTAGCTACTGGTGACATTGAGAGTTGAAGACAGAAGAAAACTGCCCATTTTCTTCAAACATATTTATATCAAAAATATTTATATGTCACGTTGGACATCCTAAAACTTGCAGCACATTTTCTTCATGGACCGCCCACTTACACCCATATGTTCCAGTCTAAATCACCCAAAATTAAAAATAAAAATTCTATATTCCCAATCTACCTGAATGAGATTTATAGATAGCATTCCTTTTAATTCTCAACCGTGCCACGAAAACGAAATACACCTGCTGTTGCTTACTTACTTGGTGGTTTATAACTTTGGAATTAGGAAACAGTGCATGAGAAATGTACAGAGGATGAGTTTTACTACTTCATTCAGTTGATAGCAAGACATAATCAAACAGGTCCTAAAACTTGATATATTGAAAACTTGAAATCATGATTCAATTCAACTACCCCAAAGTAGACCTTTCTGAGCAAGCAGCCAAGTTATGCGTTAATCATGGAACGTAGACATAACAAAGAAGTATGAAAATCACACGATCACAAGAATGAAGAAATAAAAACACACGATATGACAATCCACATGGAGAAATTCATGAATTACTGATTCCAGCAAACCCTAACAAAAAAAAAAAAGAGCTCAGAATTAGAAGAAGAAGAGTGCGAGAAGTTTTACCTGAAAAGTGTGAGCAGGTAATTGCCATCCATTTTTTCTCACCATATCTACTCAATTCAGATTTCTCTCAAAGCGCGCGCACCAGCTTGTTCACTTCCAGTTCCAGTTGCAGACTTGGAATAGCAAGGTAAAGTAACATTAAATAAACACTAAATATACCTAATCCCAAAATAGAAACGTTTCTTACACACACACTTCTTTGTTTTTATCAGTCTTCTGAAAATAATAATGAATTCGGAAGTTTAAATCGATAATCAATTATGTTTTCAAAATTTTCACTGGTTTGATTTTCAGTTCAAAATTTAGATCGTTAGTTTTCATTAGTAGTTTCAATTTATGTTTGAAGATTTTCGATTAAATTTAGATGAACAGATAAAAATATTTGAACAATAATTAAGACTTAAGAGTTTCATTAAACGCACTTAAGAATTAATTTTAAAACTTTGCATCTACACTAATTTAGTTTTCAAATTTTTGGAAATTAAGTGGACCTTTTAATCTTTAAATTAAATTAAAATCTATAACACAATCTTTCGTGAACCAAAATCTCAATTTACTTTTCGCACGCACATACAGCCATAAAACTGTAAAAAATTTCAAAACAAGAAGTTTGGTCTTTTTTGGAGTTACCCTTTCACAACATCGAAGTAAACAAGTTTAAAAAAAAAAGGGGGGGTGTATACTTCTTATTCAAGATAGATTTGGATCTTCTCCGTGTTATAAATAAGAGAAACAAAATGTAATATTTTTATTTAAATGATAAATTGTGATCAAATAACATAATTACATAATTAAATCCATACAAGATAAGAAAAGTCTCTGTATGTTACATCTACATCGATTTGCATGCTAATATGTTTTATTTATTTATTTATTTATTTATTTATTTTTAATGTGGCCAACCTGAATACGTGTGTGCTACAAAAATTCTCTTCTTACATTGCATTAGAAGTATAAATTCCATTAAAAAATACTTAATTATAAAAAATTGTCCTACAATTTATTATCATAATTAGGTAGTTCATGACTGGTGGGTTGGATTTTTTTGGATTTCTCCATTGGGTCGTTTGGCAAGCCCAACTCCCAATTAACGAGAGGATGAAATGTCCTTTTACATTTGATTCTATATTACTCTTGTTGTACATGTATGACCTTGACATATGAGAAGTCACGATTTCTCATACATTAGCAGGTCCATAGAACTAAAAATTATGTAACACCATTCTCACGCATGAGAACCTCCCCTCGCCTTATAAATATCTCTACTTTCACATTGATGAGTTATTACTTCTAGTAAGAGAAATCCCCTCTCATGGCCATAATCGTGTTCTTGCACCTCCTCTTAATTCTCAATTTGTCTAAGACCTCTCTACAATAACCTCCATTACTTCATATTATTTCCTCACATTATCGCTGTTACATTGATCTACTTCACCCTCTAACAAATATATCACCATTTTTATCCCTTAACAAATTCAGTCACATATTATCTTCTACAACAATATTTAAATTTAAATTTAAGGTTATATAACACAATAGATGACATAATTTCAACCCAAGTGAGTCAAATTGTCAATGCGGAAAAATTTTAAACAAAAAAAAAAAAAGTGCGCACACGTCACTAATGCATCTATATAATCGAGTGTGTATTTTTTGTGTGTGTGAAAGAAATCGAGTGTGTATTTTCAATTTGATTAACATGCATTTTTAATTTATTATAAATAAATGTTTTCTAACATTTGCCTTTATTATTAACGAAACTCTTAAGCACAATAAAAATTGGGAATCACATCTGTCATTTTAAAGGATATAAGTTTATATCATTTTAGATCCTAACCGTTGATTTCCGTCCATCAACGGTTAATTTATTGGATCAAAATTATTAATTAATTAATAATAAATTTGGCTCATTAAGTTTGACCCAATAGATTATAACCGTTGATGGACGAAAATCAACGGTTAAGATCTAAAATGATATAAGCTTCTATCCTTTAAAAGGATAGATGTTTTTTTCCATAAAAATTTGTTTTAAGACTTTTTATTCAATAACGGACAAATATGATTGCGCAAGAAATAATAATGCATTGGATTACAGATCACCACCGAAAAGTTAACCGTAATGTGATATTTATTAAGATGAGTTTTCCAGGAATATGTATTGGTAGAGGAGAAAAAAAATTTACCCGGAAATCACAATTTCCAGGAAGATGAGTTTTTTGAAAATTTTAGCAAAAATGTGTTTGGTAGACTTAAATATTTTCGAGAATATTGGGTTAATTTTCTTAATGTTATGTTTCATTGTATTAAATTTTTCATTGTCATAGAAATCCTAGAATACCACCCCTGGATGGTATTCCTGAAAGGTATTTTCAAAAAAATTACACACAAAATAAAATCCCAGAAAAATCGGATTCTCGAAAAAAATTTAAAAAGCTTGTACCAAATATGGGTAAATATGATTACCACTCTCAGTTTTCCGGGAATCTTAAAAAATGCCTCGTACCAAACGGCCCTGTGGTATTAAAAAATGCTTGACTGGATTGGTTGGTCTTGTGCTCATGCTTGACTGGATTGGATGGTCTTGCGCTTGTGCTTGACTGGATTGGTTGGTCTTGCGCTTGTGCTTGACTGGATTGGTTGGTCTTGCGCTTGTGCTTGACTGGATTGGTTGGTCTTGTGCTCATGCTTGACTGGATTGGATTGTCTTGCGCTTGTGCTTGACTGGATTGGTTGGTCTTGCGCTTATGCTTGACTGGATGGTTCTCTGGCCAGTAGAATCGCTATGTGTGTATGCTATATGCCATTTTGATGTCTGTATAACATGTAAGTGAGCTCAGGGTTGGAGGGGTCTCCAAAGCCCTTGAGTTTACTGAGATTGTCTCTCACCCCTTGTGGGATTTATTTTTAGGATCCATAGATAGTACAAGAGACGAACCCCAAGGCAGGAGGCCCGAGCAGTGATGCATACTTTCGCATACATTTTGAATATTTTGACATGCTTGCATACTTGTATCATTCGATGGAGGCTCTAACTGGTATTTTGATTATGCATGCACTTATGACAAGATGAATATATTTGTTGAAAAGCATGGTGAAACTTGGGTTGTAATTGAGTTATCATGGATATGTATTTTGAGTACCTTATGGATATGTCATTGAGACTATGAAAAATTATATAATTTCATGAGTTCTTGTACAATTGAATAGCTTTTATGTTAAACTTTGATAAATGATATGTTGGATAGATATATGATCAATTAGGTGTTAGGGAAATTGTGAAAGAGGGAGGGGTTTTCCCCATGTAGTTATATAAAAACAGAGGAGGGCATGTTTTGCTCTGCTGGAGAGCGTTTTAGCGCGCTGGGAAGGGCGCTAAAACACGCAGAGTTCGCAAAATGGAGGAAAAGTCTCTGCCCTTTGGCATTTTAACGCACAAGTGGGCGCTAATACGCTCAAGTGTGCGTTTTAACGCTTAAATTGAGCGCCAAAACGCTCTGAAGACTTGGAGAAGGCCAAATTTTCTGCCTCTGGGCGTTTAAACGCTAAGCCGGGCGCCAGAACGCTATGCCCCAAATCAGCACAAACATGATTTAGTAAAAACTGAATAACTTGAGCTACAGTGCTCCGATTTGAGCGCGGTTTGAAATCGAAGAGATCTACAATATAGTAGTAGATAAGAACCATAGAGGAAGTAAAGAATTCATTTAATAATAAAATAGATAAAGACACTCAACAACGTGCGATCTAATAAAATAAGAATATGATGTTAAGCTTAGTTTATTTTATTCCACAACGACATATGGTTATGATCACGCAATTGGGTATTTTAAATTCGGCTTTGTTCAAAAAGAAAATTTATCTGAATTTCTAATTGAACCAATGTGATTGTAACTGCGCTTAATATCATAATGTAATGTTAACAAACCGATTCTAGAACGAGATGTTACAAGTATAACATCTCCCATTAAATATATTATAATTTTTTGCCTCTTAATATAATTGAAGCAAGGCATAGGAAGTTCAATTACCTTGTTAATTAACATCAACTAATGCACGAGGTAAGGGAGAGGGAAAGGAAACATAACCTTGTTAACTTTATTTAAAAGATCAAATTGATAGGCAAAAAAATTAAAAAATTACACTTTTAATAATTAATTACGAATAGGTGGCAATTTGGAAATTATATTCAAATTTATTGCAGTCATTCACGTCCAAATTAGGCGTGATTATTCATGCCTAAGTTCGGCGTGACTTCCAAGGCATTCACGCCTAAATTAGGCGTGACTCGTCTGGTGTTGACACCTGGCACAAAAAATTAATAGTTTAACCGTAAAATTTTATAAGGCCGTAACTTTTGACTCGGGTATCCGAATGAGGTAATTCTTTTTTTGATTCCACGTAACTTTTCGAGATCTACGCAATGACATCTCATTTGATATATTTTATCTCTCACAAACACAATTCAAATTTACAACAATGATACTATAAAGATGACACCAAAGTGGATTAACTCATCTATAAATAAGATGGCACCAAATTTCCTATTGAATACAAAACGCAATCAACTTCTATAACATTAAATTCAAAATTCAAATAACCACCAGCAAATTTATTTGAATTGACGACAATCTGTAACAAACTCATAAAATTACAACGCAATCAGCTCCTATTAAATACAAAACACAATTAACTCCTATTAAATACAAAATGCAATCAACTTATTAGAGGTTATTTGAATTTTGAATGAGTGCAATATATTCGTAGTTAGGTTCAAAACGGCAACTTATTTGTAATTATTTATTAAAAAAAGCAAGTGTTTAGAATATTTATTTAATTGTTTTATTTATTAATACATATTTTTCAAATTGATTTTTTATTTTAAATCACAAATTAAATCTTTATTTTGTTTTTCTTATTAATAATAATTTTTTAATTTTTTTTTGGTAATACACTATATAATATAATTATTACAAATTTGAATTGTGTTTGTGAGAGATAAAATATATTAAATGATATGTCATTGCGTAGATATCGAAAAGTTATGTGGAATCAAAAAAAGAATTACCTCATTCGGATATCCGAGTCAAAAGTTATGGCTTTATAA